CAACACCGCAGCAGCCGGCCAGTCTCAGCCTGCCCAGGGCTTCGCCGGCACAGCCCCCGCCCAGAGCCTCCTCTCCTGGGCCACCTCCTCTTGGCCACCTCCTGCCCCGGACAACGTGCCCTGGGCCATCTCCGTCCCACCGTCCCCAGAGAAACTCCTTCCCTGGGCACCTTCCCTTGGGCCACCTCTTCTGTTCCTCCCTCCCTGGGCAACCATCTTCTCCCTTGGACAGCCTCCACCGGGTCATCTCCTCCCAGATGCTGTCCTCCCCTGGCCCTTCTCCCTCCCTGGGTAACTCCTTCCCTGGTCCTCCTTCTCCTCTAAGCTCTCTCTCCTGGAGAACCTCCTGCCATGGGTACCTACCCCTGGGCCACCCCTCATGTTCCTGCTTTCCTGGACCTCCTCACCTGGGAAACCTTCCCTTGGACGTCTCCTGCCTTGGACAACCTCCACTGGGCCACCTCCTCCTGCAGCCCTCCCCCCTCCTCAAGCCACCTTCCCTGGACCTTTTCCCCCACCCCCTTCTTTCTCCTTCGTTGAAGAACCTTGAACCGCCTCTTCCCTGGACCTCCTTGTCCTCCGGGCCACCTCCCAGAGTCCTCCTCCCCTAGGCAACCTCCTCCTTTGGACAACCTTCCCTAGGCCACCTCCCCATCTCCCCACCAGGTCTCCTCCTCCAGGCCACCTCCTGTGGTCCCTTCCCTGACCACCTCACCTGCCACCCACCACGTGCCCACCCTGGGGCTCCTCCGGGACCTCCACCTGCAGCCTTGAGGAGCAAGCGACCACCGCAGCACTGCGGCTGTTCAGACTCCCAGATCCAAGTCTTATCACGGCGTAGGAGAAGAGGGATCACTCACAAGAGTGTGCAAAAAGAAGCAGCTGAGCAGCGTTAACAGCGGGACGACGTGGCGCTCCTCTGCGGGGGGCACGGAAGGACCAGGGGACGCTGCTCTGATCAAGTGCTGCTGCTAGACGATCTCGGGAAGATACAGCGATTTTTACAATTAGCCTAAAAACCGGGGGGGTCTCTGCTCTGGGGGGTGCTCCTCACGCTCCCCTGCGCTGCGCCGGGTCCGCGATGGTGGTTCCTAGACAGATGCAGTGACAGGGGGGACATCAGAGAGGACTCCCTGGGTCCCAGAGCCCAGCAGGACCCTTGCTGCCAGCACCCATGGAGCAACGT